GTGTGTGTGTGTGTGTGTGTGTGTGTGTGTGTGTGTGTGTGTGTGTGTGTGTTCAGGAGCAGCCAACCAGAGATTTCCCACCACAGGAACAAAACCTGCAGCTTCCTCTTCCTGCATGGCTGCTCCTCAATGACCCCCCCTGCCACCATCACAACTCCTCCTCCTCCTCCTCCTCCTCCTCCTCCTCACTCAGCAGGAGCTGCTCCTCTCCTGCTGTGACGGTTTGTCCTCTAAAAAGGTTTTCTCTCGCTCTTCACACAAAGACAGAATCAGAACAAACCCTGGGTTCTTTCAAAGGCAGAACCTGCTGAGTCAAGGTACAGAGTCATGTGACCCACAGGTAGACGGCTCAAAATCACTAAAAACAAAAACAAAAAAATGGTTGTCACGCATTCATGTCAGAGTTTTACATGATTTCATGACGTCACGACCTCAGAGTATGTGTTGTAAATGACTCTCAGCTACTACCACGCCGAATTTCAGCTCAATATCTCAAAAATCTACCAACTTAGAGACGTTTTTGTCGTCTGGAAATAATAAAGAATATTCTGTTTGCATCCTGTTCGCATCACCTGAGAGAAAAGATGTAAAACTAATTTTTTCCTCAGAAATCCTCGGAGGATGACAATAAAAAATGATTTTTTCCTCGGCTGTTTTCATGTCAGCCTCCACCGTCGCCTCCTGCCAGATTCTTCGTCCCGAAACCCAGAAAACACACGTGTTTCCCATCGGACGCCCACCCAGCCGTGACGACCTGATGTCAAAACCACGCCYACGTCCTGGAAGACGATGTGACGTCGTTACGGAGTGGAAATGTAATTTAAAGCAACGGCAGGTCCGAGTTCAAGGAGGGGAAAGAAGAATGACAGATCTGTAGGAGGAGGCAGGAGGATTTCCTGATATTTCTCCTCTGAGACGGACGTGATGGCTTCAGCAGATGTCTTCAAACAGACATATAAATCGCTCCGGTGTTCTGAAAATCAGTTTCTCCTCTCTGGTTTAGAAAACATCTCGTAAAAAACACATCTGCTGAATTATCCAAGGAGGTTTTATACGTTAAATTTCAGATCGTAATCTGAGAATGCTGACTCAGCAGTTTCATCTTTATCTCCCAGGATTTTATTCTGAAGGTTTTCGAAAAATATTGTTCTTTGTAAATTACCATTTTCATTTCTCTTTGCTACTTTTAGTTTTTAAGCTAGCCTCTTACAACTTTTAGCATTGGGCTAGCTAGCCTTGTGTTTATTTTAGCTGAACTGTTGCTACTTCAGTTCTTAATACGACTCTGTTACTTTTAGCTTTTGACCAGTCTTTTGCTACTTTTAGCATTGCTACTTTTAGCAATGATTTTGCTGCTTGAACTCTTAATACCACTCCTACCTTTAGCTTTTAACTAGCCTTTTGCAACTTTTAGCTCTCACTCAGATGCTTTGAGCATTTGGCTAGCCTTTTGATACTGTTAGCTAAGCTACCATTCTGCTACTTTTAGCATTGGGTAAGCTTTTGCATCTTTTAGCAACACTTCTGCTGCTTCAGCTCTTAATACCACTCTGCTACTTTTAGCTTTTGTATAGCACTTTGCTATTTTTAGCTGTGCTTTTGCTGCTTGAGCTCTTAAGTCCATTTTGCTACTTTTAGCTTTTAGATAGCATTTCGGATCTTTTAGCTCATAAGTCTCTCTCTGATTTTTTAGCTGTTGAACAGCCTTTTGCTAATTTTAGCTAAACTTTAGCTGCATCTGCTTTTAATACCACTCTGCTGAGTTTAGTTGGCCTTTTTTCTATTTTTTAGCTTGTAGCATTAGGGTAGCCAAAAGTTAAAAGTAACAAAGTAATAGCTAAACTTTTGCTGCATCAGCTTTTAAAACCACTCTGCTACTTTTAGCTTTTCACAAGCCATCAACTATTAGCCTACCTTTTTATAGCCTCTTGTTGCTTTAGCTGTAAGCTAGCATCATGCACATAGCTTTCTGCCACTTTTAACTTTACTTAGCTTGTGTTCTGTTCCATTTAAAATGTGTCATTTTGCTTTGTTTTGGTTTAAATTTATTTTTTTATTTCTTATTTGTGAATAAATAAATAAATTGGTTTAAATTGTGTTTTGCTACTATAAACTTGTTGTTTTTAGCTTTTAGTCTGAGTTTTTCTTGTTTTGGCTTTAACAGCTCACTTTTAGCTACTTCAGCAGTCGTTCAGCTGTCATCATTCACTCATTTTCAGCAGAATTTTTTAAAAATTATGTTTAAAATGATTTCTGTCCAATAAAACGCTTCACAAAAACCAACTCTTCTTAAACTGGACCCATTTAGTCCTAAAACAGCCGAATATTTGCTTTTCAAAACAAACAAATATCAACAAGATGGTTCTGACCCTGACCGATCTCCTGCTTAAAGTCCTTCAGCCCAGGGGATTCTGATGTTATCAGCCCATGAAATGGACGTTATTAGGCGTTATCAGTCCCATACCATGGCTTCAGAGGGTCCCTACTGTGCCTTCTAGGCTTCAGACTGTCCCGACAGTGCCCCCTAGTGGGTTAATATATCAAAAACAATGAATGTGTAAAAAACAAAAAGATATTGTAATAAATTTTATTTGTCCGTGTCGTCTCCCGCTCTCTGGTCCGACACTCTAACCATTACCCTGTTGGAAGGCCACAATATAAGACTGTTGGAGGGCGGTGTCTTTAGTGGTAACCATGTCATGTGCTCTAAAGTTAACCTTAGTGGCTTTAAGCCTCATATTAACCAGATTTTTTATGTCTCATATTAACCAGATAGTGGCTTTAAGCCTCATACTAACCAGCTAACAATCAGAAGCCATTCTATGGGACTYATAACGCCTATAAACGTCCATTTCATGGATGATAATATCCGAAGCAGATGAAAGCCTCTGGTTCTGCAGCTGGGACCAGTTCTTACAGAGTTCTGCTCTCTGGGAAAACCACCACTTGACTGAGTTGTCTGTTAGAAAAATATCTCACGAACCACTGGAAGGAACTGTCACTGGACGATCATCAACAAACCATCAGCTCCTGGAGTCGGTACGATCCAAGATGGTCGCCTCGGACAGTCCATCTTGTGTCTACGGCTCGGTCAGTTTTTCAAACCTTCAGCTGTGGTGGTCATAGCGGAGAGTCGTTCACAACAAAACGTGTTGCACAAAATAAACTTTGACCCGAGACACAGCAGAGAGTTTAGTTTCATTAAAAAAAATGTAAAATCAGCTCCTTTTTCTATCCTGCTTCTTGGACTTTGTGATGAAGTTAAACCCTTTACACATTTAACGGGACAATGTAAAACCACACACACACACACACACACACACACACACACACACACACACAC